TATATTTGTCACATCACGTCGTAAAGTGAGTTATTAGGTCTTTGTTGCTGAAATTGGCTTCCCAGGTAATCGGGGCAGGTCTCTGGAACAGAAATAATAATTGGGTTTAGCTCTCTCTGTGCCGAGGGTGTGTTCCAAGGCTTTGGARCAGTGACTTGGGTCTCGTTGCTGCAGGTTCAAAGTCTCACTGCAATGTCTGAGCTCCTCAATCGAGCATGAGAGGTCCCAGAGGGAGGGGGGTGGTGGCTCCTGTGGGGCTACAAAAGCTCCAGGAATGTGGATATGCTTGGCTGATGTGCTTGATTGTAGAGGGGAGAAAAATACATCAGCCCCTGGTCTGGAAAGGGGATGGGATGTGTTTTGAGACAAGAGGAAGGGGACTTGGGTGAGGGAGAAAGGCTGAAGTGGAATCAGAGAATCACAGAATTGTTTGGGTTGGAAAAGCCCTCAGGAATCATCGAGTCCAGTCATTCCCCCAGTGCTGCCAAGGCCACCACTGACCATGTGCCATGTGCCACATCCTCACAGCTGTTAGATCCTTCCAGGGATGGGGACACTTCACAGCCCTGGGCAGCTTGTTCCAGTGTCTGACAACCCTTTCTGTGGAAAACTTTTCCCTGATACCCAACCTGAACCTCCCTTGGCACAACTGAGGCCATTCCCTCTCCTCCTGTCCCTGTTCCTGGGATCAGATCCCAAATCCCCCCCAGCTCTGCCCTCTCCTGTCAGGGGTTGTGCAGAGCCCCAAATCCCCCCAGAACCCCCTTTTCTCCAGGCTGAGCCCCTTTCCCAGCTCCCTCATCCTCTCCTGGGGCTCCAGACCCTTCCCAGCTCAATTCCCTTCCCTGCACACGCTCCAACCCCTCCTTCTTGGACAGAACACATGAACATGGGGGTTCCTACCTCAGGTTTGCTAATCTTTCTGGGTTTTTTTCCCTGTCCCTTTTATTCCCGTGCCCCACTGCACTTGTTGTTTTGCTGACCAGTGCTGTGTACGAGCTGCTGCTCTGTTTTTCCTGGATCCCACAACTCAAAGTCTCTCTGGAATGTTCCTCCAGCGATTTGCATTGCAGTGCTTCAGCTCCCTGCTTTTATAGGGTGCTCTGGGATAAATTCCTCATCCAACATGACAAACAATAATCTCTTCCCCTGCATCTTTCTACCTTTAGTGCCTGGTTAGAGGGCTCCCCAAACCCTACAAAATTAGCAGAGATCATACTGCTTACTTTTACTGACCTACAGAATGATCTCAATATTAAAACTTTATTTAAAAKTAGTCCAGAAATTAGTCATTTTAATTTTTTCCCCATCAATATGTACRGGCAGAAGTAATTTTAAACACAGCGTGGGTTTTTTTTCCGAATTTCCCCGGTGACTCAGTGAGCACCAGCACAAGGTGGTGAATGTTTGTGTGAATGTTTGTGTGAAGGGCACAGAGGGGACACAGGTGGCTTTTTCAGATTTCACCCTCTGTATCAATGAAAGCACAGGAATTTCCCTGGCTGCACAGGAACTCTGCTTTCCCCAGTGACACGAGATGCATGTGTGAGCTTGTCACCTCTGGCTGGATGGAACTGTAAATATTTGCCTTGCAGAAGCATTTCCAGAGGGTCCCCAGTGCCAGGGCTGTGCCCAGGCTCTCCTCCCTGCAGATTTGGGTTGTGGAGCACAAAAACTGGAAATGCTGTGCTGTGCTGAGGAGCTGCAGAATGCCCAGGATCAAAGCTCAGCTCTGCTGGTAACTCATTTATTGAGTCAATCTCTGGAGCCACTGTGGTTTGAGATGATGTTTTTGAAGAATGGGCACGTGGACCTTCATGACAAGGACCTGATCCTCACACCACCCCATCCTCCAGCCTTTTGCCATACCCACCAGCTCRTCTTTGCAAGGGTTTTACAAAATGGGTTGCCTCTGCTTAGTCTTKGAGTTAGTTTGAGTCATCTCTTCCAGGAAAATCCTGTGTAACCAGCTGTGGCTGTTATGAAGTGTTGCTCCATAAATACCAGCTGCTCCTAGCAGGCAGTCCAGCCCAAGTGTCTTGTACCAGGACTCTTGTTATATTTACATTAATGTCAGATACTGAATGGTTTAGAAAGTGTTACATTTTGCCAGTGTTGGAGTTTTCACAAAGGCCTGTACAATTTTCATGGAATAATTCCCGAGGCAGGGTTGGTGTATAGCCTTGTCTAAGGTTGGTGGTGTCTAACCTGGAGTGGGTTTGGATGTGTGGTGTGATCCCTCTGAGTCCTCACCCTCTCCATGGCCTGAATGTGAGTTCTGCTTTGCTGCTTTCTTTCCAAAAACGGGAGCAGCAGAACTTCATTCCCAGAGAGCAGAGAACTTCATTCCCACTTCATTCCCAGAATCACCCAGCCTTTGTCTCATGTAGACAGTGCTACAGGAGGAGGAAAGGGCTCAGGGATTTGAGTCACACATTGGAACTGGGCTTGGTTAAAAATGTGAGCATCTCCCAGGGCTGTGCAGAGCCCCATGTGCTGGAATGCTCTGCCCTGAGCCGT